CAGAACAGTACTGTAGGCATACAATTCAGCAAGAGAAAATTACTTTCTTGTATAAAATTTTCCACATTAATCTTTGTAAGAATAATTCTGCCATTCAAAATTTGTTACACATTGATGTTCTTAAATCTTCATGTTACTACTATCAAGGCGTTTTTCACAAACTCTCTTATGTATTTTTCTACCCAGAATGTTTCATTTTAATTCATGCTAATTAATATTCAAGAAATAGCAGTGTTTGTTTAATATCAGAGTTTAAGAAAGAGTTTCACTCCTCAAGTTAATTAAATACAGCTGTAAACTGATAGAAACATTAACAAGGTCATACAGCTTTCTAATTCTTTAAATCTGGTGCTTTCATCTACCTATCTGCTCCATCAGCTCTTCATCTCCTTTTAGAATCTCATTGGTAAACAAATTTCCCCTTTACCTCTACTGCCTGGCTATTTTTTCTTATTTATTAGTTCAACTCTAAATAATACTGGAGTGGAGGAACAGTCATATCTGACATCCCACATATCTTGCCACTCAGTGTCATTTAGAGGTGCATTAAAATTTTTATGTGAAAACTACCTGTAATTTGCAAACTAAATCTGCCAAAAAATGAAGTATTTTGTCAAAGGGATTTGGCACTGGTGCAAATTTCACCAAAAGACAAGGAAGTGAAATATCAGCCAGTCGTTCCGCATCCCGCTCTAGAAGATACTTTATTTCAAGATGTCACTGCAGTGCCTTGGGATATTGCTAGGGTGCATTTTATAAAATCTCTTCCCTATAGACCAGCTTTGTCTGCTACTTACATATTATCCTGTAGCAGAAAACATCCAGCTGGTGTATTTGGGCCATGTGGGAGAACTTACCACAGTTTCTGGTACGTATACAGCTTGGTATGCTTAACATAGATCTCAGGGAGTGCTCATTTTTGATGATTAACTTTGAGAGTTTGGGTGGAAGAGGGGAGGAAAAAGCATTTTCCAGTTTAACTACAGCACCTCAAATGCAGCTGGTATGGTTTATATCCACTGTGTACCTGTTTTATTTCCCATGAGAGAATTCCTACAGAAGGACTAAGCTTCATTACAAAGCTGTGACAAGGTCATATCTTATCCTTCATCTGATTTGAGAATTCAGTCTGTTTGTAGGTAAATAGATTATGATGCCCTGGAATCTTTCAAAAAATTAAAAGTCAGAGTCTGAGATAGTTTTAAAGTATGAAGGAAACAACTGCCTTCTTTTAGCAATAAAACTGAGGATGTATTGATATTTGGTGTCCGGCTTATGAAGACAAAGACAATAATGCCTATGAAAGATCTTTTTTTCTAAAAGTACTTTGCTACTTGTGAAAGATATTTAATATCTTTCACAATATCTTTCATTATCTTAATATCTTAGGGCTGTGAAAAAGAATGAATAGATAACAGACTGTAGAATTCGGAAGATATACTGTATCAATGGAGATAATTTGCAAATGTTTAGTATATATGAACACTACGAAGAAGATCTATGAAGAAATGCTTTTCAAAGTACATCTCAGATCTATAAGGTGAAACACTTAATGGATTCTTTGTGTGTTGCTATAAGGACTCACTTATAATCCAATGTGTCAAATGTTTCTAATCGCGGAGTCTTCAGAATGATTCAAAATCTACCAGAAATAAGACATTTCAACTACCAAGCCTCAACATACAGTATTAGTTCAGGATCATACTACTCCACCTCTGGTTATAGCACATAAATATTTATACAGTTGAAAACTTTCTGTCTTCACTGCAACAGAAACCCACAGCATCTTGGACTGATTACATTCATTGCACTTTTGGCTGAAAAGCTGCAAAAAAGAGTGAATCTATATCAGCCAACTATATAAATACACACGAGTGCATTTTTAAAATGTTCTCAAGATTTTCACTTTTAGAGACTGATAGAAAGGCAAACAATATTTTGTTAAAGTTATGGGTCTGCATATTTTGTAGTAATTCATTGAAAAAACGAAGGTCAGGTGGAAAAAGGTGCTTTAAAGCAGTCAAATTACTGAGCCTCTTTATTATATTTTTAAATTAATGTATGGCTTCCATGTTTGCAGTTTATTAATATCCTTGTATAACTTTCCTTCTCTACTTCTCAATTACATGGTACTATTTTTCTCAGAAGATGTGAATCTATTTTTCACAGAGAGATTATGGGCTTCATCTCTCTACGGTTCTCTGTGTGCAACTTGTTGCCCAAGACTACAGATATAACTATCATGCATACCTTGCACAGTCTAACCTTTTTCCCTTGTTCTGCTTGTTCTAGATATGCATGGAAGAATGCTCCTGTGTCTTCAGGGTTCACCATCCCTAATTCATGTTACTTATAAAATCACTGTAAACAGCCTCATTTTGTGGAGCGCTCACTGTCTTTTGTTAGATGGCTCCCAGATTTCTGTAAGCTGATAGATCTTTCATGAAACCTTGGGGGCAACATGACCAGAAGTGACTTTCATTTATGAGCTGTAGAATTCCTACTGGTTATAACTAAAAGACAGCACGCTGCCCTAAAGTCCCCAGTGTCTTCTTGATAGTTTTGCAAATATCACCCTGGAATCTTATGGATATTCATGCTTATAAACCTTAAAATCTTGCAGTTTCTTAAAGTTAAGAAACTGATGCAGTCTGTTGAGACTTCAGTATTGTTTATATCTGACGAAGACATTCAATTTCTTATATTGTAAGAACAAAACCTCTTATATTTTCAAATACAAATGTCAGGTAAAAAGGGATATGGATGGGGCTGCAAAATCTGTTCCTTTTTACTGACTCATGTGTGTAACAGTACCTAAGGCAGATGGATACTGTTTTCTGAATTTATAATGTCTCCTTAAGACATTAAGAAAACATGTGAACTTTTCATGCTTATATTGTTTTTGAACTTCAGCTACATTTTTAAAATCTCCAAGAGAGGGATGTCTTTGTAGTAGATTCCTCTCATTTATCACATTTCTTATAGTTCTGCATCATCATCCCTATTTTGACATAACTCCTGATAAAACAAATGCTGCTGTTTTCCTCTTCTGCGGTTGCTGGGAAGTCTGAAAGATGACACTTGCTGTACATACACCTGACTTACACAGACTGTGCTATTTTATATACAGAGCTTGAGGTGAAGGAGAATGAATTTGTTAAAGCCCATGTGACTATTTTCTGGCTTTGAGATAGACACTGTCAATCTTTTTTTTTTCTTCTTTTTTTCTTTTTCAATATACAAATCTTATTCACATTTGGCCATTATACTTACCCAGTGGTACAGTTGTAATCTACGCTTCATCAGCAATATTTAAATATAACGTGGATCAAAGTTGTATAAAATCACATTTTGTAATTTGATACTGCAAATAGGCAGAGTATTTTGCAGGACTAGATTATTCACCTCTCTGCTCTAGAATCTGGTGATGCAAATCTGTCACATAGCTACTCCTCTGCTCAAATAAGTGACCTGCTTACTGTGGGAGCTGGATTGTATGTCTCTCATTCTACCTATTACATAGCTTTGATAGAAGAAAACACATCTGTTTTAACTTACTAATAAAAGGTGTATTCAAGAGCTGTGCATGCAGGCCAGTCAGTGATTTAGGGAGAAAAATAATACCTATACAAGAGTATTGGAAAATGCCAGCAGTGCATTTATCTCCCCACACCTAGGAGCACAGAGAAGTTAATAGTTAAAAAAAAAAGTATTCTGTAGACTTTATAAAAGAACAGAAAATAGTACTTTTACTGTAGAAACAGACTAAAGTGTAAACAGACTGAAGTGCAGGTGTAAACTTTACTAGGTGTAGGTGTAACTTCACTAAGGTGCAAAGTGTATACATTAGTCTATTTTAATTCACCTGATTGTTATTTTAATATTGATAAACAAAAAGTGGTCAGTGCAAGTCATAGTATAGTTTACTATGGTAATGGATCGAAACTTGAAAGAGCTCCACTAGTGCATGAAAATAAGTTTATCTTGGTTTGGCTACCAAATATTCTAAGCAGTCATCTGTTTCCTCTCTCTAGCTAAACTATTTAAATTGTTTGAATTTTTTTCAAGTTTACTCTTTTTTTCTGCATCATTAAAGCTGCATAATCTCAACAGAGAAGGGCTGCCAAGGAAGGAAATTCTGATATCCACAGAGCTTAAAATCATTAAATCTGTTTTTCATGTCTTGGCTTTTATTGCTGTTCTTTGTGATCTTCTCACTTATCCGTTAGCTCCATTGTGACTTTCAGATGGGGACAGAGAAACAGCAAGAAGGAGAGAAACAGCAAGAAGGACAGCTTATTACTGCTTAAGAAACAGACACCATGATTTTCCTTCCTGTATCTCTAGGAGTAAAGCCACTGATTAACATTAAATTTTACACTTGTGCAAGGTCCTGTAGCCAGCTGGAAATGATGAAATGTGTTTTCTGCTTTGGGAGAGGTAGGCTTCAGATTATGCTCTCATAAGACGTTGTATCTTTTCTTGTAATGCATGTGATTGTCCAGTTTGATGTGAAACCATATAATTTTGACAAAATACCAGAAATCTGATAAAAACGCATTGCAGTTTCTATCTCTTGTATGGTCTAAATAAGGCTGATGGACACTGTCATTTAAGCACAGATTATTGCAAAATAATACCACAAAATTAAATCAAATTTTGATGTTCACCTTCATCATATTGTTTCAGTGTCATTCCAATATAAACCTTTTTGTATCAAAATATGTTTGAGTAACCGATCTGTTGTGTTCATAACTGTTGCTACTATGAGACAAGTGTATCCACTGCCTGCTTGCTCTACTTGGTTCTGACATGAAACACAGTCATTAACAAGTCAGAAGTACAACAACAAAAACTCAATGCAAAACAAAATGTCTACTTATAAAGCACTGTACGTGGGATCAAGTGAAAAGTTTAAAAGTATTTTTTTAAATATTAAAAATATGAAACATATTATTCTTTAGGATCTGAGTTTGGGTGATGCTGTAAGTGAGACCTACTTTCTCATAGTACTTGATCTCGTAGTCCAGAATGGCTCCATGGGGAAAGTCCGGCTCTTGCCAGGAGAGGGCAATGCTGTTTTGGGAAGCCCAGTCCTTCCTTACCATACCTATCAAGGAGGGTGCTGAAAGGGAAAAGGATAACTACGGGTTAAAGACGAAGTACACTCTTTATCCTTTCAACCTACTGTCTTAGGATACCAACCCGAGGTAACTTTGAGTGACCTCCAGGCAGAAAAGCATGACAGATGGCAATTCTCAGGGAAACCATATAACCTGGAATTAATGTTTCAAGTACACACCAGTAACTCCTTTATTAAAGTGCAGACCAGCTTCTGAGAAATGGCTATATACAAAAAATTCTCACCCAGAAAGAAGTACCTGAGTCAGTCACCACCACTGTCTGTGCATGACCAGGATGTGCCGCTCGCTCTGAGAACATCATGTCCAGAGCACTGCTGTGTTTCAGAGATTAAATTCTAAATTCAGGATACCCTATGTTAAGTGTTATAGTTATGCTAGAGTAGAACAAACATTTGGTTTACTCCTTGGGGTAAAATAATGTGACACAACCTAAAACAGGCATAACATACTCCGTTCCTGCTACCTGGGCTGGCAGAAGCAAAAGAATTCCAGTCCATCAGGGCAGTAGCTGTGTGTATTCAACAGCTGGCTGTTAGGGGAGGTGAGGGCAATGGCAGGGTTAGGGCAAGCCACAAAAGCAGAGGTGCCTCAACCTACTTGCAGTAATTGACACCACAGGGCTGCAGCTGTGCACTGAGCAGGAACTGCTTCCAGCAGCTTTCAGAAGGGGCCCAACATGGGTGGATGAACCCAAGAGCAAAGCTATCTCACTGTGGGTTTAACTGATTTTGGGAGTTGGATTTGCCGTCCTTTTGGAAAAGAAGAAGGACGTAGAAGGACATTCTGTGTAACAATGTCAAATGAGGCAAAAATTCAAACACAAGAAACTCTATTTGCTTATTTTATTAAACTGGTCAAGTAAGGCAAAAGAAGTCTAATACTTTCTAGATACTAAAGCTGCTTTACAAGTATTGACATGAATCTTTCCTAAATGTAACAACAAAAGTCACATCTTTCAACAGTCTTGAAGACAACAGGGAAAGCTGAACGAATAAGTTACTGAACAGCACATCAGAGTCCCACCAGCTTCCTGAGACTGTATCATATATACACATAAAGGTTCTTCCAGTGGTTTACCTTTCCCTGTTTGTCGCTGCAATAACATATACCACCATATTACACACCTTCCCTCATTCCTCTCTATTGTGAATCATACTTAACCTCTTCTAAGCTCCTAAGGAGCTGCCTCTTGAAATTACATACTTTTATTGCTTCAGTTTTTATCTTTTGAATAAAAGAGTCTCCTTAGTAAAGTGAAATAGGAATCTGCTTCTAGTCACAAAATTCCTCACCTTTGTTTACTTCCCTGTAAACATTTCAGAAAGTTTAAGAAATGAAATCAATAAATACAAGCTAGAAACAAACACTAAAGAAAACAGAACAGCTTGTTTTCCTTTGAAAGAAGGAAAGCTCTGCACACAGACACACGTATAACAATCTCCGTTTCTCTGTGTCAGCAAGACAGAAAATAAACCCCTGCCCACTTACAGTCCTCCCTGTGGATAACTATTCTGTGGCACAACAGACCAGTCTCTATGATGGGATAAAAAGCTAACAGGCCAACAGAAAATAACCAAAAGAAGAAAAAGCTACCAAAAGTGATATGGATAAAACAGAGCTTACACAGGAAACCTTACACCATTTTAACCATAGGTCTGATGCAAGGGAAAGAGAGAAAAAAAAGAATCCTCTCTTGCTGAATAAAGAATCAGTCTATTTTTCAGGAAGACCTCAAACAGCATCATATAACTAAACAGAGCTAAATAGACAAATAAATGAATAAAACACATTCAGAAGTTCTGGGCCAAAACGTTACTCCTGGGTACACATAACTACTCCCTCAGTTAAAATGAAATTTTTATTCTTGAAAATTGAGGACGAAACTGAGTTCTGGTAATATTACTCTGGGGTAAAATCCAGTACTCCAAGTAGGGAACAAAGACAGGGCTGTTGAAAGGAAAACACGAGGCAGCAAAAATGGATTTGTATTTGTGAAACACTAATCAAGGGCCTATGAAGACAATTGCTCATATATACTTGTTTATTATTTGCAGTTTTGAGTCATTCACTGGCATCAAGGCAGAGGCTAAGGGAGCTCTGCATGTTTTTCTGATCCACCTCGTCTGCCTGTTCGTGCCTCAGAGACTTCAGCTGGGCCACCCTCACTAGCACACCATGGCTTCACCTCTCTGCAGTGTGCATTCATCGGTCCAATAGCCAAATCCTTGCAAAATGATTGAGTATGCCTGCAGAAAACACTTGATCCTTCTAGGCTTTTTAAAATATAGATTACTGATATTATACTTCTTCAAACTATGACCTAACATGTGGTGCATTTTTCTTTGGGCTCTCATTCCCAAATTTCTACAACAATTTAAGTACATATTCTGTCTGAGTTCACTGCAGTAACTCTTCCATTTGAGCAAGCAGCCAACACCTTCTCCCTGGGAAACAGCTCAGGAGTAAAATAATGGAAGATATTTACTTCAGTCTCCTGTAAAACAGCTGTGGTTGACCTGCGCTTGAAAGGTCCCATGCTCACATCACACCAGCACCACAGTGCCAGCACTGCATCCTATAAATCAAAGTGTGAAGGTGTGTGTGTGTAAGGCTCCGGATACTGTGTATTTGTGACTTTTTTTTATAAAAAACAGCAACAGCAGCAACAAAAAAACCTACACACCACACACAGTACAATAAAACAAAACCAAAAGCCATTAACCATTTTACCCATTCAGAAGGGTGCTACTAATTGTCATACAGAATTTACCTGTATGATGAAATAATTAAGATGAAATAATTACTTAAAAAAGGAAATGGATTTCAGTCAGAAATTTATTGTACAAAGAGATAAGCACCTAAGAATAAGTAATAAAAAGTTGCAGCTAGTCAAGTTTCTATTTTTTCAGTTACTATCATTTTAAAAACAATATTTTCACTGGAAAAATTTCAGCTCCTTATAAGATTAGCTCAGTAGAACAGAAATGATTTAGACCCTAAAAATGTTACCAATTCATTGTTAGAGCTCTCTTAAACTGGAAATTTGTAAGACAGGTAAATCCTATTTGCTCATATATTAAGACTGCTAAAATGTTCCTACGATGAATCAATGGGAAGTTCTTCTAATTAGTTTCTTCAAATCCAGTAACTGCAGGGGAGCTCTAATTTGGTTATCCACTGAAAACATTTGAGGAAAAAAAAAAAAAAGCTTGAATCCCAGCATGACTTTTAATCATTTTAATGGCAGCATTTTCTTGACACTGGTACTAGGCTGAAGGATGGTTTCTGGCTCTTGATCTCAGTGTTGATCTCAGTTTTGTACTAAGAATTCTTTGCACCATCTGCTCTCTATGTTTTCCTCTACGCTCTTATAAAATTTTTGAATTGCAATGAGTCATCTACAGTGCTGTCAGCTCCTATTAATTTAGTCTGATAACTTTCCTTGTCTTTTCAGATTTGAATTGAATAATGAATGTTCATTCCTCAATTCAGAGTGGGAATATTTTATTCTAAATGTCTTTGGTTTCTTTTTTTTACTGAATCTCTTTGTTTACTCATACATTGTATAGAAAGCAGAAAGTTGTAAATGATGGTTGAAATCCAGTGTCATTTGTATAGAAACTTTCTCTTCTTCCAAGATTGACTTCCATTATCTGTAGTCCCTGATTTCAAAAGAGGTGATCTACAGGACTTCTGAAGCTTTTTCCCCTTAGCCTATTTTGTAATTTTCCAATTTCTTGTTTCATTTTGTTAAAAATGGGCAAAGCATTTCCAACATTTTTCACAAGTTTTCCAGACTAAACAACTTTAGTTTGTTGCCTGCTGAGTATGCAGAATCTTCAAACCCAGCAGCAGCTGATGACACTCACCCAATGTCTGTTTCGTCCAATCTACCCCTCTACTATTACATTTCAAACCTTATTTTCTTTGAAGAGAAACCATGTCAGCTCACTGTCATTTTAGTGGGTGCCAGAACAGGCCCTACTAGAAATCTGTGAAGTCTCTTGTTAAAGAAAACTATCAACCAACAAACAAGATAAGCTACATGATTGTTGCCTCCTTTCCTTCTCTCCCATCTGTTTTGGCCAAAGTCTATGAAGTGCCAGCAGTCATCTGGACACCATCCTCATTAGAAGACTAAGGACCTCCATGTATAAAATACTGCCAGTGGAAATGATGTGCTTTAACTTAGACACACATTTCTATACCATCACCATTACCAGTAATAATCTGAATTGCAATAATTATATGCTATTTTTCTTAAGAGCTCTGCCAGCTTCAAGACATAAGAAGGACCATACTCACCCAAATATAGGGCTTTATCAATATTTTTGGAGTAAGGCTTTTCCAACAAAGGAGGGAATCCAGCCTGCTCCCTTCCTCTTCTTTCTCTCCTACCTCGGCCACTTCCCAAATGTAACTGAGGGAAAACACTAAGGCCCACTCAGGAGATTGCTTCTAATTGAATTCATTAATCTAGCACTTTTTGTTTCCTATGATATAGTTAGAAGAGGAAACACACTTCAACACCTTGCAAGAAGCCTGCTTTCCTCTTGTTCTTTCATTAAGACAAGGACTGTTGCGAGTGGAAGAAATATCAATGCTACAAGGAGCAATCCAAGTTCACCTTGGTTTCATGTCTATGTTGGTCAGAATACAAAAGAAGATGGGTTTACTGAAAGACACATTTTCAAGCTTATGTCACATGTAAATTGTATGAATTAATTTACATAGGAAACTATGTGTGAAACAACAAGAGCTATGGTTATCTAATTATCCAATAACATTCTACAGAAATTTTAGCAAATTAATGAAACAGAGTGTGGAATAAGTACATTAACTTTTCAGCGGTTTCTCCTCTTGCTTAACCGTAATAGTAGAAAGTTCTTTTGTGAACTACCAATACTAGATTTTAAAGCAAAGTGTGTTCTAGATTTGTGTTTCTCATTATAAATACTATAGCTATATAGCTATACTTTAT